GTTGAGATGTACCATTAAACATACTATTTTGTGCCCTAGCAATTGCAGATTGATTATCGCAATATATATTAATCGCAGGTACCAATTTTTCCCAACATGAAATGTTTTCAAGTAAATTACAAAGCCATTCCGCTTCTTCTCCGACTTTACCTAAAGCAATATACTCAGACTCCATTGTGGATCGAGCTATACGAGTTTGCTTAGATGATTTTCAGGATACAGCCCCACCTCCAATGGTAAATATATAACCACTTGTAGACTTCAAATCTTTTATGTCAGATATCCAATTTGCATCGATATATTCTTCTAATACCGCAAGATATCTTGGGTAGTGTAACTCATATCCAATCTTGTGTCTTAAGTATTTAAGTACTTTAGTCAATGCCTTCCAATGATCAATAATTAGATTACTTGTAAATCTACTTAATTTGTTGACTATATATGCTATATCCCGACGCATGCAGTTATATATATATATATCAAACTGCCTATAATGCATGAATACTCCAATTGAGATACAAGATCATCAGTATTTTTGACTAAGTTTAAACTTGAATCTACTAGCGACTTAACCGATTTATCGTCACACTTTAAATTTCTTAAGTATAATCTTAATATAGTGTGATTGAGACAATGACAAACCATCAATTACCTTAGTGATCTTAATCCCTAATATTACATTAGAAATTCCCATATATTTCATGTCAAAATATTTTACTAACATTTTCTTAGTTGGGGAAATGACGTTCGAGTTATTTCCTATGATTAACATATCATAAACATATAGACACACTATCACATATTCGTTGATGCAGTTTTAATGTAGATGCATTTGTCATATTCACTGATTTCGAAACCATTTGACAACATAATTTTGTCAAATTTTTCATGCCATTGTTTCGATACTTATTTTAATCCATATAACGATTTTACAAGCTTGCAGAAATTCTTTTCATTTCTTGGAGCAACAAACCTTTTCAAGTTGTTCCATATAAATTTTTTCTTCCCATTCACTGTTTAAAAATGCAGTTTTAACATCTATTTGATGTATTTCAAAATTATGCAACGCCATGATTACAATCAATATACATATAGACGTGATCCTTGTTACTGGTGAATAGGTATCGAAGAATCTAGCCCCCGTTTGGCTCCCATTCTTTTCAAAATTTAATGGTTGGAATAGTACTTTTTTTTTTTTAAATGTATAGTTGAAAAAAAATGAAAAGTTTTTTAGTTGCGTGTAATATTATTTTGTAGAAAATTGTGTTGTTGAAAATAAGAGAGAAAAAAGAAGGAGAAGGAGAATGGGTGCCTAGTCATTCCTTTTGTTTAACCCTTTGGATACTAACTTAGCCTCATATTTGTCAATTGTTCCATCCGATTTCAATTTCTTTTTAAGATCCATTTGCAACCTAAAGCTTTGTTTTTCGGAGGGAATTCAACCAATTCCCAAGCATGATTGTTCATGATGGATTCAATTTCATTGTTTACCTCTTCTTTCCAAAAAGGAGCTTCAGGAGAGGACATTGAATCATCTTCTAATAGATGGGTTATAAATTTTGGAACAAATGTCTTATGAATTTGTTGCCTTTTACTACGCCTTTGCTCCTTATCTACTTGAAGATTTCTATATTTTTGATGATTTCTAATTGCAGTATCATAAGTTTTGTTTGTGTGAACTTGTTTCCTCTTCCTTACAAGGAAAGATATCTTCGAAGAAAGCAGCATTCCTTGATTCAATAATTGTATCTTCATGTACATCAACCATTTTTGATTTATGAACAAAAATAGATATGGATTATTATTATTTGTATATCCGATAAAGACATAATCTATTGTCTTAGGTCCAATCCTCACTTGTTTAGGTTTAGGTATTTGTACATTGGCTAAACACCTACACGCTTTAAGATATTTGTAGGAAGGTTTCCGACCTTTCCATAACTCATAGGATGACTCAACATTACTCTTGTGTGATATTTTATTAAGGATATGATTTATAGAAAGGATAACTTCTCTCAAACGTTTTGAGTTAAGCCTGAACTAATCAATGTGGCATTCATCATTTCCTTAAGGGTTCTATTCTTACGTTCTGTAACCCCGCTACATTGATGTGAATATGGTGCATTAGTTTGATGAATAATTATAGATTTTGAATAAAACTCTTCAAATGGAGCAATATATTCTCCACACTGCGAATCATCTTTATTCGTTTTCCAAGCTTATTTTCAACTTCATTTTTATAGTGTTTGAACACTTCCAAAGCTTCATCTTTGCTTTTCAACAAGTATACATAACAGTATCTTGTACAATCATCTATGAACGTGATGAAATATTTCTTACCACCTCTTGTTTGTGCGAACTTTAAATCACATACATCCGTGTGAATAAGTTCCAAAGGTGTAATGATTTATTCAACCGAATGAAATGATGTTTTGGCTAACTTCGTCTCTACACATATCTCACTTTCCATAATTAAAATGCATGTTATGTAACAAACTTAAATTCATTAATTTGCATATAGAATTAAAGTTTACATGTTCTAACCCATGGTGCTATAAATTAGATGACTTAAGATATAAGCAGAAGAAGATATTTTATTCTTTGAGTTGTTCGGTATAATAGTAAAGATATTCAATTTGAATAGTTCATCTTTTATGTATCCTTTGCCTACATACATATTATTATTGGTAAGTATAACTTTATCTAATACAGAGACTAATTTGAAGTCATTCTTTCTTAACAACGAACCCGATACTAAGTTCTTGTGAATGTTCGGTATATAAAGAACATTGCTAAGGCTAAGTTCCTTATCCGATGTCATCTTTAAGATCACCTTACCTTGTCCTTCTACTTTTGAACTTGAGGAGTTTTCCATGAATAATTTCTCACCCTCAATTAGAGTGTAGGGAAGAGAACATTCCTTTGTCAGCACATATGTGATGGGTAGCACATGTATTAACCCACTATTCCATGGGATTTTCAACATTGTTGCATTCTGAAATAACAGTCGACGGATTCATATCTATTATACCATTTGATATGGCATTAGATTCGATGATATTAGCTTGGCCTTGCTTCTTTGATTTTCGACATGATGTCCAGCATTTCCATAGTTGTAGCAATTGCCCTTTAATTTCTTAGTATTCTTCTTAGATGCTTCAACGGAATGCTTCCTTTTCTAGCTTTTGTTATTGGATTCCACCACATTGGCCCTTGCTTGTGATATGTGATTCCCAATATGCTTGTTCGAACTTCTGTTATCTTCTTCAATTCTCAATGGATTACAAGTTCTTTAATATTCATTTCTTTGGGCTTGTGCTTAAGATAGTTATTGAAGTCCCTCCATATGAATGGAAGTTTCTCAATAATTGTAGCCACTTGAAATGATTCACTTAGAGACATATTCTTCGCACGAATGTTATGGAGGATAACCTGTAATTCTTGCACTTGACTGACGACCGTCTTTGAATCTACCATTTGTAGTCCAAGAACTTTCCCACGGTGAACTTTTCGTTCCAACGTCTCCAGTCTTATATTTTTTTCCAAGGATTCTTATAATTTCTTTGAGCTGTATACATTTTATAACACGTTGTCCAAGCCATTCAGAATGTAGTTTTTGCACAAGAAAACTGAATGTTTCCAAGCATCCAATGCAATTAGTGATGCCCTATTCTTTTCTCCTTCTTGCACGACTGGAGCATCTTCATTTACGAAATTTGCCAAGTTTAGGGTTATAAGATAGAACAACATTTTCTGTTGTCATCTCTTGAAGTTAACCCCAATAAAAATTTTCGATTTCTATCCATGTGGAACGAAATTTGTATGAACAGTGGAAGGAGCAATCACTACAGAAGGGATTGTACTTGTAGGAACATTTTCTCTCGAAGTTTTAATATTCGAATTATCATTCTAAGTAGAGTCGGTATTGAAAATTGTATTCATTTCCGTTTTACACAAAACAGAAGATCAACCAAAATCAAATTGAGTGTGTAGAAGACGCCAAACTAATGAGATCTGTTTAAACAGGAGGAAAAGGTAGTCACTCAAAATCGACTTAAGATTGCTGGAGAATAATGTAGAAAGTGACGTCAAAAATGGAAATATCGTTGCCAAGCTTTGCCTAAAATTGGACGGAGTAACGACAAAGAAGCAAGAAAGAAACAGATGGAAAAGGAAAGAAACTTTAATGGATATGCCAGAAAATGATGCTAAGTAAAGACAAGAGTTGAACTCTTTGTCCTTAAATTGATTTTGCCCCGCAACGATGCCTACGAACTATAGCAATCAACTCCCAACATACAATGCCTAACCTCTTATGTCTGTAGCACTCCAAAATACAAAAACAACGAACCAGAAATTGGCTTTTGCACTCCGTATATGAATGAAAAGAACTTATGTAGAATTTTGGTATGAAAGGAAGAAAGAAAATGTTATACTATGATTGCATATCATTGGAATGAAGAAATGAACGTCCCCAGGATCCTATTTATATTGGGAGAAAGGTTGTGAGTGAAGAAACGAGGTCCAAAACTCAGCAACCTTTGCCAAGGGTCGCAACATTTGCTGTCGCTCTCTTATCGCCTTCATATTGCTTGAGCGTAAAAAACAGTGAGTCTGTTGCTTGCTCTTCATCGAACCGTTGCTCGAGTGACGGGCTAGCACCAGGCGAGCGACGATGTTGCTAGATTTTCCAAACAACTACTCTCTTTTCTTTCCAACTTTGGACCATAATTTCTCATTCATCCAAAATTGATTGTCATTTCAAATATAATACGGCGATTTACTTGACGAATAGAATAAGTTAGTCTATTTACTTTCGTAATTTAATTATTGGACCAAGTTCGAATATTTGATCAAATGTTGACACCAAATCACTTTTCCTTAGTTGTACTTAACCAAAATTTTCAATTTCTCAAACCAACTCCAACAAATTTGACATCAATATATTGGTTAATTAACATTATTTTTGATGTCCATGTTATCGACGAAATGGACGCCGTTCTTGTTTGGTACTTTTGGCCCGTACATTCTAGTCCCACTCCAAGTGCTCCACAGTTCGTGTCTTGCTGTCACCTTCTCTGCTCAAAATTATAAATAACAGGCACTTCACACACCAAATGTACAAAATTCCACTATCTTCTTCAGTTTATTTCTCAATTTTGTACCCCAAATCCACACCCTTTTGGCTCTGTATTTGTATGGCAGCTGGCTTGTTGGCTTTTGAGGTGGCTGATCTCTGCCTAGGCAAGCCGCCGCTCCGTTCCCTTTCTGTCTCCGCTACAGTTGGTGATGCCCTGGCGGCGCTAAAGGCGACAGAGGATAATTCCGTCAGTGTGTGGAATTGTGATCACTCTAAGAGGGATTTGAATGCCGGCGATCAAAACTGTGTGTGTGTGGGGAAGATTTGCATGGTTGATATAATTTTTTATCTTTGCAAAGAAGAGAATTTATCTTCTCCGACTTTGGCCTTGAAGTCCCCTGTTTCAGTTTTGCTGTCAAAGTTTAAGGGTCTTGTGAGGCATGTGGAGGCCTCTTCAAGGTAATTGGATGATAACAACTCTCTCTTTCTCTCTAGATCTATGCTGGAATATTTTGTTCTTTCACTAATGGGAAATTTTCCACTTTCTTGAATTGGACGGGTCTGAATCTTGGATTTATTATTTCAATGCATTGAACTTTACCATGACGTGACTGTTTGCTTAAAGTCCTAGCTGAATTAATTCAAGCTTGAATGGAACAGGGAAATTTAAGATTCATGCCTGACGCGTTAAATTTCACAATCCTTGTGTTATCTACTTTGTTTCATGTAAATTCAGATTAAATTGATATTTCTTGGAGTTGGGATCATCAATTTCTCCAAATTCATGGAAAAAGGTTCTGAATTTAATCGTTGCAGTCTTTTTTCTATATTTTAATCAAATTCTGTTTTGCTATTTTTCTTGCAGCTTACTTGAGGCCATTGATCTGATTCTCCAAGGTGCCCAGAACCTCGTGGTCCCTATAAAGAGCAACAACTCGGGCAATTCAAAGAGAAAACAGCTCCTAAAATCATCATCAATGAGTCCAACAGTTCACAATGGTCTCGAATTCTGTTGGCTGACACAAGAAGATATAATGAGATTCCTTCTTAACTCAATTAGCCTTTTCTCCCCGATACCGACTCTCTCCATTGAAGCCCTTGGCATAATCAGCCCTGAATTTTTGGCTGTTGGTTACCACTCCCTGGCTTCATCAGCTATTGGAGCTCTCTCCCAATCCCTAGTGGATCAAACTTCGGTGGCGGTTATTGATGATGATGGAACTTTGATTGGTGAGATCTCGCCCTTTGCCCTCGCCTGCTGTGACGAGACTGTGGCAGCTGCCATTACAACCCTCTCAGCCGGGGACCTACTGGCCTACATTGACTGTGGAGGCCCTCCTGAGGAAATTGTGAGGGTGGTTGAGGCGAGGTTGAAGGAGAGAAATCTTGAGAATATGCTAGAGGACTTCGTGATCGAATCCTCCAGCAGTACTACTCTCTTCAGCTCATCTTCTGATGAGGAATTGCCATCCCCGACTAGGACATTGTCAAGGTCAGGGCGATATGGTAGATCTACCAGCTACTCAGCCCGAATGGTGAGAAGGGCAGAGGCAATAGTGTGCCATCCCGGAAGTTCTTTGGTGGCAGTGATGATACAGGCAATCGCGCATCGGGTAAACTATATTTGGGTTATTGAAGATGATTGCAGTGTCGTTGGAATTGTAACATTTGCTACCATGCTGGAAGTATTCAGAGAGAAATTAGAATCCATGATCTGAAGCAAAGATCAGTTAGTTCTCGTTAGAGTGAAAGTTCTTTCTTTTCATTGATAAAAATAGGGAGGAACATATTGTGAATATGAGCCTTTACTTTGTGGTTTTTTGTAAAATGTGGTTTGAGGACTTGCTCATCCAGAACCTGGATGGATGGTTTCTTTGGTAATTTAATTTCAAAATGGTTGGTTTTGTACTAAATTTTATGATCATAATCAAATTTACAAATCGTGCAGTGATATTTTTGTTCATCTCTCTCCTTTCTTTGACCCAATTTTTTTGATTGAAAAGGTCATGACAATGGTTGGGCCTGTGTCTGTGTTGAGCCTCACATTTTTCTGCATAAGCTAGCAAGACACGGCCTGACGTACAAGAGCTTTGGTCCTACCTTTTTGACACTTCTTGTTGAATTATCTAGTAAAACACTGTATTAGGTTTGAATTATTCTTATCCATCGTATTGTTCATTCTTGTTCAATATTGTACGTTAAATGTGTTTTGTGTGTAATACAATGAAGAGAAGTTTACGTCATGTCAAATTTAGTTCGACAAAACGAATATGGCTGTGGAGATTTCTGGAGCCACCTTATTCAATGCTAATAATGTACAAATACAATCAGTTGTTAGATCCTTATTGCTTCGATTATGACTCGTATAATCGCACCTAGCAGTTTCTCTTTACCTTCTATTTTCATTTGGTAGGAATGCACATATAAGTTAGTGAACCTATTGGTTTCAAATTGCAATTTCAAATCTACAACCAATTAAGAGGTAACACAGTGTGTCAAGAAGGCTTATTCCAATGACATGATTTTGCAAGATAATAGTACTCTTGTAATGACGAAATTGGTCATTTGGTGAAAATTAAAAAATAACCCTTCGGCTTGACCAAAGGAATTAAGCTCATCTTACTAGGGTTAAGAATCTAACTTTCTAAACACTCGTATTCATGTAGTTGTGTGGTGCATGGTTCTACGTGTTAAAGGGTATGTTTAGTGCACTGTATTAAATCGGATAAGAATTGACTTAAAAGTAAATGTACTTAATATGTAAATTATGAGTTAATAAATAAATAAATATACCTTTATCCTCCTCATTTTTATCGAGAAAATTTTGTTTTCCTTGCACTTGTAAATCAAATATTTGTACTGATTATTTTCTCCAACTTCCACTACGTTGAATTCATGACATTTGCATCCTTATTCTCCAACGCCTGGTTTGAGAAATCCTCCAAAATCACACGAAATCATCTTTATAAACAAATTTACTTGTAAGTAAATTAATTTACCTTAAACTGTTGTTAGTAACTATTCGAAAGTTAGGGGTAAAAAGTAGCAAATCAATCGTTATCCGATTTGATGAGCCATTTCTTTGCACAAGGAAGATTTGATGGTTAATTCAATGACGATAATATGATCTTTTAGTCTTAAAATCTCTAGTGGTGGTGCGGGGAAGGTATTAACAAAGGTGGGTTAGGGTCTAATCTTAATTATCATAGTTAATCAATCATATATAATCATGATTTGATGGTTGCCGATTCCGAATCTTCACTCGTGGCATCTTAATGCTGAAAAATAATTGACAAAACAATGTCGATATTGAATTATGTTTGGTTAATATTTATCGAGATATAAAAATGTAATATGTTAAAATGTGAACATGATTTGACTTTATATTTTTCTTGGATACTTTTCTCACTTTTTAGATTTATTCTTTTTGTATATTTAAATTAAAAAATAAGCTTGTCTTTTTCTATCACGTTACTAGCATTTTTGGATGAAATTGTTACCCAAAAAAAAGCAAAAAAAAAAAAGGGATTGAGGACAAGCTGTGACAAGGGTCAAAATTTGGGGACTACAGCTGTAACTTATGCATAATAAATAACGAGTTAATTGTTCCAATGGTCACTGAATTTATGTCCATGTCTTTGATTGATCACTGAAATTTAAAATGTCGAGTTTTGGTCACTGAACTTAGGTCAATATTCTCGATTGCTCACTGAATTTAGGTTCATATTTTAGATTGCTCACTGAAATTTAAAATGTCAAGTTTTGATCACTGAACTTTGAAATATGTCGTACGTTACTCACTAATATAACTGTTGAACTTTAAAAATATCGAGTTTACAGTGAGTCATGTACAATATTTTTCAAAATTCAGTGAGTAATGTACTTTTCAAAGCTTAGAAAGTAATATAAAATATTTTTCAAAATTCAGCAGTCAAAACTCAACATTTTATATTTCAAAGCAATCAAGACTTGGACCTAAATTCAATAATTAAAATTCGATATTTTAAATTTCAGTCACTAATAAAAAGCATGAAGCTAAGTTCAGTTAACTCCATAATAACATCTAACAAGAGCAGGAATAGGAAACCGGTCAAACCGATTCGGTCTTATGGAATAAAAACGGGATGACCGGTTCAGTCCACCGCTGGGGACAAACCATAACCGAATTAGGGTTTCAAATCTACAAGGTTCTCCATTGAACCACTACAGTAGCCGTTCATCTGGTACTTATATTTACTGGTTTTGAACAATTTCTGCTTTGCCTAGTTTTATGTTTTTGAGCTTTTTTTTGTAGTGTTAATTTAAGAAGATGACGAAGAAGAAAGAAAAGTCTGCGAACGTTTCGGGAAAGCCGAAGCATTCGTTGGACGTTAATAGAGATGCGAACAAAACAAAAAATGGGAGGAGCGCCGCCACAGTGCGTCGGCTTAAGATGTACGACACGCGGCCAAAGCGTAACACAAAAGGGAAGATTTTGAAGAACGATTTGCAGTCCAAGGAGTTACCGTCCACTCGGATTCAGCCTGACCGCCGGTGGTTTGGTATGATGTGTTTTGTTTTGTTTGAGAAGTATTATTTTTGGTCTCAATTATGTTTGATGCTGAATCTAAATGATTACGTGCTGTGTACCATAAGTTGGTGCATGCGTTTAATGAATTTAAGGTGAAATATTTTGTAAACTCCGAAATGCATAAAGTTGCTCACTTTGTAGAACTCAAATGTGTATAAAGACTAGGAAAAAAAAACATTTTGACCTGCCCCCTCTCGGGTTAGACCAAAGGGAAAATCTTGCAGAAGAACGAGCAGGCCAAAACCTTTTATCATAGTTGATAGAGCATATATTGCCATCTAAAAGATTATGGTGTTTCCTGTGGAGAGCTCCTTGCTTAATGTATTTAAAAAGAGACAATGAGGGTTAACTGTTTTATTATTTTTTTTTAAAGGCTTCTGCTAGAAGGTTATAATGGCTGATGTTGGTCCTAACTCAGGACTTGGCTCAATGTGTAGAATTAAAGGATATAACTCTGCTATTAATTGCTTCAATTTACTTTGTATATTTTTAAACTGTAATGGATTTTGTGCGGATGAATTAAACTTGGGGTTAAGTATGAAATAATTGCAGATTTACTTTGAAAACTACTGGAAAAATCTTTCACGTGCATGGATAGGATGCTGATCTCTGTTTCTTTTATTTGATCTTTGTGCCATTCTTCTCTCTGTCAATTGCTTAGGGTGAAGAAGAAATTAAAAAGTTATTTGCTCATTCAATTTTATAGGCAACACCCGTGTTGTGAATCAGAAAGAGCTTGAGTTTTTCCGTGAAGAACTTCAAAATCGTCTTTCAAGCAACTACAATGTACTTTTGAAGGAAAGAAAGATCCCCATGTCCCTTTTGAATGATCATCAGAAGGTTTGAAGCTCTTCTGTGTGTCGATTTCTGGTTTTAGTACGAGGAAATAGTAAATTTGTGCAAGAGTCTTGTCCTTCTTACATCTTTTTGTTTGGTGATTTGATCATTTTCTTTAATTCCCTAAGCAAGCAAGGGTTCACCTTCTCGACACAGAGCCCTTTGCTGATGCCTTTGGACCCAAGACAAAGAGGAAGCGACCAAAGCTGGTGGCATCTGATTACGAATCATTATTGAAGAGGGCTGATGGTTCTCAAGGTAAATAGAATTCATCTCATGTTCTTGTTTTTCCAACCTTTCGCGTGTAACCTGGCTTGACAGATGTCAGTGATCTTTGTGTATCATAATCTTGTTTCCGTAATTCTTGGTTTGAATTCAACTTGGCAGATGCCTTTGAAGAGAAATATGGTGCTAGTACATCTGTTGAAGGAAATGAGGATGGATTCAGAGATCTTGTTCGGCACACAATGTTTGAGAAGGGTCAAAGTAAACGCATATGGGGAGAGCTCTATAAAGTGATCGACTCTTCTGATGTTGTTGTCCAGGTAGGGGAACAAACAATATGTTACTTCCATTTTTTTCTCACTGGTTGAATAGGTCTAAAATATTGTGGGCATGATAATGAAATTTACTTTTTCCTGATTTTTTTTACTACACTTGGGACTTAGGTATTGAACATATCTGAAAGTTTAAATGCCTTTAATGTACTTCTTGTTGCTGCTCGACTTCCTTGAATTTGGACTAGTACTTCCTTTTACTCCTCTCCCCATCTTTTACCTGTAGAGGGGGGAGAAAGGGGAAATAGATGGCACTTATGTCTTGTATCTTGAGTTGCAGGTGCTAGATGCCAGAGACCCACAAGGTACAAGATGCTATCATTTGGAGAGACATTTGAAGGAGCATTGCAAGCATAAGCACATGATTCTTCTATTAAATAAGGTTTGTACTATTATGTTTTGCGTGTTCTGTTTAATTTCTTATACAAGTGTATATTAAGTCCTCACTCTTGTTCTTCAAAACTCGCTATCTTTTCTTTTCCCTCAGTGCGATTTGGTTCCAGCCTGGGCTACAAAAGGATGGCTTAGAATACTATCCAAGGAATACCCTGCTCTAGCATTTCATGCGAGCATAAACAAGTCGTTTGGCAAGGTATGCAACTGACTTTTCACCACAAAAATATAATCCTGGTGAATTTCATGATATTACAACTCATTTATGCTTTTGCAAGTATTTGGTGTGGATTATATTTGGAATTCCTCACTTGCCATAAGGATTATTACTTCTCATTATGCTTTTGCAAGTCTTGTTTAATCGTAATAGAGTAACATTTTCTTGTCATGCAAATATGTAATGTCAAAAAATTATGTTATGTTATTGCCAAATGAACAATATGAGTATAAAAGTGATTGTTCTGGTTTTACTTGGAGCATAATAAAAAATGGAAGGAGATCTTCAAACCATTATCGAGTCCAAACTGTGAGAAAATTTCACAATAGCCCCACACAGCATGTTGACATTGCATACTCGTCTCTTTGGGAGTCTGCCCTTCATCATCAATAAAATTTATTTGCTTCCATATAATTTTGTTGTTTGTCATTTTCAGGGTTCTCTTTTATCAGTATTGCGACAATTTTCCCGCTTAAAAAGTGACAAACAAGCTATATCTGTGGGTTTTGTTGGATATCCCAATGTTGGAAAATCATCAGTTATCAACACTCTGCGAACGAAAAATGTAAAGTCCTCCTCTCTTCTATTTTTGGAGTGAACTAATGAGTTACACAGTCTAAAAGATTGAGAAAAAGAACTGACCTCTACTTTCTACTTTCTTTATTGTTTTGGATCTGTGTGCAAGTTTTTTATTTGTGCAATCTGTTCATCTGTTAGTGACAAAGGACTATCATATGCAAATTGCTGTTTTAACTTAGTTTGAGTTACTATTCTCAGTACCCTTTTTTCTTCCCTGGCATCAGTTATCTTTTCTCAAGGTTTGGAAGCCATGCTCAAGTGTGTAGGCACAAAATTTTGCTTTTCCATGAAAAGTTGCCCCTTTCTTGGTGGTCTATAATAAAGGAAACAATTTGATTACATATTTCATGGAAAAGGGTATGCACAATTTGTAAATGGTGCCTTAAACATGGAAGTACGTGTGAATGGTATATGGTCCAATCTTCATTTTAACTTTTAATGTTCTTGAAATGTCTGGCAATTTTTTAGTTGATGATAATGCTCATTACCTTCCAATGAAAATTTGTATCAGATATTGTCCCAAACATAGGTTATTATCTTTTTATGCACATTTGATTCTGATATCTGATTGTTTGAATTAGAAAACAGCTACATATGACCTTCATACTTCTTTCACAAGTGGCCCTACTGCATAGTCATTTTCAAAGCCATGGTCTTTTAGTAGCCTTGGCGTAAGCAAAATTTAAGATTCAAGCATAGAGACTAAAATTTAAAGCCTGCCAATAGTTTCTCGTCTTTGCAAACTTGTTAAAGTACCCCTTGTGTAACTATACCAATAATCCAACTTTTTATGAATAATGTTGAACACTTTTTAATGTATCAATAGCCCTAATTGTGCATATTTTCTAATTCAGAATTTCAGTCATATAACAATGAAATTTCATAATTCATATTTTCTCCTCTGAAAGCATTACGTGAAAATAAATGCAAAATATATCTTCAGATTTATAGCTCCTTATTGGTATGAAGGGTGAAATGTTTCTGTAAGAATGGTATGCAGGAAGTAAATAAATTTAAGTCCTCAGTCATGTTTGTGCTCACACAGTCTCTAAACTGATTTCCCGTAGGATTTTTTGTTTGACTTGATACAGCTGGAACATTGCTTTTATATTTTCAGAGGATGATATGAAAAGTATAATCATCATTTTATGTTCAAGCTAGTAAATAGTTCATTTTAGAGTGTATATTTTTCCTTGAACAGGTTTGCAAGGCTGCACCAATTCCTGGAGAGACTAAAGTGTGGCAGTACATAACTCTTACAAAGAGGATCTTTCTGATCGATTGCCCTGGAGTTGTTTACCAAAATAGGGACACAGAAACTGATATTGTCTTGAAGGGCGTGGTAAGTAAATCCACGAGTTTGTTGCCATACCACCCTATGTTTACTGATATTGATCTTCCGTTTATGACAAGACTTGATTTTAGTTTCATTCCTACCGTTAAGAGGATTTTTTGGTGTCTATTAACTAATGGTACTTGCTTAGCCAATCAAGCATAACAGTTTTTGAAGGCAAAAAAAGGAAACCAGCTAGGAGTTGCCTTGTTATGACCTAGATTTAAATACACAGTGAATGTTAGATATTTCTGTAGAACTGTGAAAGAGATGCTTTCCAAATCTCCTTTAGTTTGTTTTTATTTTCTTTTATATGTTCCACTTTGCACCATTCAGAACTTGTGTAGAGGCAGACTTTTATGTACGCTTTTTGCTAATGGCAATTGCTTTCCTTAGTAGTTTCAACCTTACTGCATATATGGGTGCATTCCTTTCGGCGTCTGATCAACAAACCATTTCCTATAATAGAAAAGGAGTCTAGATTGATGCCAGAAGAAGATACGGGCCAGAAAGTACTTATGTACGTGGGGGATATACTGTATTTTGAAAGTGTTTCCCCCCCCCCCCCCCCTTTTTTTTTTTTTTTTTTTTTTTTTTTTTTTTTGTTTTGGGGGGGGGGGGGGGGTGCAGTTATGTTTCTAACATGAGGGTATACAAGGGAGTTATTAGTTTTTCGTATGATGAGTATCTGTCAAAATTCCAAATTTGCATAGCCAAATGCCTGCTCGAGGTCAGGGTCTTTGATTACTTGGTGATTTATATATCCAGTGTCAGCACATCCAATGGGAACTTGGACCCTTTTCTGCTTGTATACATGCATGTTACCTGGTGATTGCCTTTTGCAGTACTTCAAATCTTTTGATATTGAACATGTAGAACTTAGTTCCTTGCAATTGTTTACAAGATTCCCATTTAATCCTTGTACTTTTAGCCCTTCTCTCTGGAGAGAAAATGACACATTTTGGTCTGTTATAATTGACTATTTAAACTGGCTTAAAAATCCATTGATGGACTCTGTGCCTCCAGGTACGTGTGACCAATTTGGAGGATGCTTCTGAGCATATTGGTGAAGTTCTGAACCGTGTGAAAAGGGAGCATCTCGAAAGGGCATATAAGATAAAAGACTGGTATGCTTTCTGCTCTATCCACATGATTTTCTTTAATACATTGGTGTATTTTCTCTCCTAGTTTTGTTTTCATGTTTTTAAAGGTCTGTGCTGTTAAGTTCTGTATTTCGAAATGTGTGTGGAGTTGATTTATTGTCGAAATGGTAATTCTCACAGTAAATAACTGCTGAAAATGTGAAACTTGCTTAGTACCTCTGCACATTAGACTAACATGAATATAAAATCGAAACATCATGCAGCCTATTTTTTCAGCTCAATTTCACAGATCTTTAAGCTAAATTCTGGAAACTCATTCTACTCCATGGTTTACAGGGAGAATGAACATGACTTTCTCCTTCAGCTATGCAAGTCTACAGGAAAACTTTTGAAGGTAAGTTCCCCTTCTTACTAATATCTTCAAATTTCAATTTGCTTGGGCAGGGGCAAACGCACGAGCATATAGTGTGATGGGGGCATTCTTGTTGGAATGTTGGGAATAAGGGATTTCAAGTTGGCAGTTTGGGTTATTGCCTTCGCCCCACAACCAAAAAAGAAGGGAGGGGGGGAGAAGAAATCTAGTGCATTTGCATTCACTCTCTCTCTTCCATGGATGTTTTTTTCTTTAATCCTTTCTTATGTGTGATTGTTTTGGGTGGGTGAAGGTGTTTGGTCGGGGTTTGTTCATCTGAGCAGAGGATTATTGATTTGGTATTGTGAACCTCTTGTGAGTTGATAGACTTCTTGTTCTGTGTTTAGGGAGGTGAACCTGATCTGAAGACGGCTGCGAAGATGATTCTCCACGATTGGCAGAGAGGGAAAATACCTTTCTTTGTTCCACCTCCAAAACAAGAAGACGAGTCAACTCAGGATCCCATTGAATTTGATGTGGAGAAAGATGAAGCAGTCGATGATGATAAAGCCTCTGCGGCTAGAAAAGCTATTGCTGATGTTATTTCATCACAACAGCTAAAGGATGTTCCAGTTCAAGAGGATCTTTTTACTGAGAATGAGTTGATAGGCGAGGCGGTCGAGAAGCTTCCAATCATTGGGTCGTAATTATCACTAGTTGTATAACTTGCACAACGATTTTGTTTCTATTTTGGTCATTCTGATTAGTTTTGTCATGTTTAAATTATCTGAGATGGTTTAATATTTGTGGATGTAACTTTATTATGCAATTATCTGGGAATTATACTTACATTCATCGTAACATTGATTTCAGTGAATTCTCTATTGGTTCGTGCTCAAAATAAGTTTATTTTTAGTTGTAAGTATGATCCAGTAATATGTGAAAATATTCTTAAAATTAAATTTAATTACTTGTAACCTTAGTCAAAGATATATCGTCTTTTACTATTAAAATAAGTCATTTATTTTAGTTTAAATAGATATATAATTTTTCAAATTTACTCAAATATGCATGAAATATAATAATTTATTTAGTTATTAAGTAAATATAATTATTGTGAAGTCTTTGATTAAGTTTGAATAATTGGACATTAGGTTTGGATAGAGATTTAGGTCGATTGGAGTAAAATAAAATTTTGGGCTGGATTTGAAAATAATTTTCTTTTACAATTCACTTTGTATGGGGCCCCAACCAACAACACCGAGACTGCCCCCTATATCTGGACGGGAAAATTTCATAACTAAGAAATTAATTATGACACGTTTCAAAAACAAGAAATCAAGTTTCAAATTTCTAAAATCAGATTTTTATTAAAAATTATTTATAATTTAATTAGTTAATTAATTATTTTATTAATTAAATATATTTAGATCATAGATCTATACAATTTGGTCACAAATTAAAAATATAATTAGTTACTTATTATTTTTTGGTCACAAATTAAAAATTTTATTTCACAAATTTTTTTACGATCACATTTCAAAAATTTTGTAAGTCACAGTTTGTTTATTGGTCACAAATCCAAAAATAATTAGGCACGGATTAATTTTTAGTCACGACTTATCATATTATTGGTCACAACTTATTTTTCGGTCACAAATTAAAAATTTTATTGATCACATATTATTTTTCGATCACGAATCAAAAATTTTATAGGTCACAGATTAATTTTTCGATCACAAGTCAATAAATTATAAGTCACAAACACAAATTTTATAGGTCACATATTATTTTTCTATCACGAATCAAAAATTTTATAGGTCACAGATTAATTTTTCGATCACAACTCAATAAATTATAAGTCACAAACACAAATTTTATAGGTCACATATTATTTTTCGATCACGAATCAAAAATTTTATAGGTCACAGATTAATTTTTCGATCACAACTCAATAAATTATAAGTCACAAACACAAATTTTATAGGTCACATATTATTTTTCGATCACGAATCAAAAATTTTATAGATCACAGATTAATTTTTCGGTCACAACTCAATAAATTATAAGTCACAAACACAAATTTTATAGGTCACATTATTTTTTGATCACGAATAAAAAATTTTATAAGTCACGAAATCAAAATTGTTATTGGTCACATCTAATTTGTCGGCCACAAATAAAAAAACTTCTTAGGTCACAATTCATTGATTAATCACAAAATCAAGGTTTTAATTGGTCACAATTCATTTATCAGTTACAAATTATATCTACAAATTATATCTAAATAATTGGTCACAAATACCCCCTCTCAACCCGTCGACCCCCAATCACCACCTGCCACGACCACCTTCATCTCACCTGTATGCAGAACCACCATCACAATAACCGCCCACACCATCATCGACAACAACACTCCCACCTCAAACAAATCAACCCAAAAACACCACCACAACCACGATTGCCATCTCCGGATCCACTAACCGATCTAACAGAACACCACAGCCATGGTGCCACCATCAAATCCATCACATAAGGCACTCAAATAATGCAGAAATCGGAGAAACCTTGGCTGGTCTGAGCACCGCCACACTTGATCTAACAAATTTCTCCAAGTCATTGCCACCACAGTCGCCGCCACACCCCAACACCACAGATTCACATCACCACAGAACACCAACACCGTCCAGCTGAACACACACCATGCCACCATCGCCACAATTTGCACAATGTATCATCATATCCACCTTGCCACAATGTATCACCGATCTACACTGGATCTCACGACAGTGATGCAAGCTGCGTCGCCGATAAAGACGAAGGAGAGAAGATAACTGTGTCATCGACAGAGATAAAGGAGAGAAGAGATGGACATTGAGAGACGAGAGAAGAGAGGCGAGAGGGATGAGAGGAACGGGTTTGGAGAGAGAATAAATGAGGGATATAATTAGGGTTTGGGGTTGAAATTGTGTTATATATTTATTAAAAATAAATATTTTATATATATTAATTAATTAAAAACACCTGATTTTAGAATATCTAAACATTGGGTTTGATTTTAGAAATGTGGATTTTTAATGTAGGGAAGGGTGTAATTTCCACTATCTGGACCCTGCCCTAAGGCTCAGGTCTCAGCTATGCAAACGTATATAAACAACGGTGAAAATCCCCTTAGAAACAGAGAATTGAAACTCTACTTTATGCCGACTAGATTTCCGTGTCTCTGGTGACTGGTGGTACTTTCTCTAATAAGTTCACTAAAGAAATGAATAATAATCGCTACTTGCGTTCGTTGCTCTTGAAAAGTTGAAATTTACGTTTTTCCCCTTTAATTAATGTTATTTATATTATTGACGCTTTGACCTTATTTTATTTGTTGTGTTAATTGAACAAGATGGCGAACAAGAAAATGAAATCGATGAATGTATCAGGAAAGCTGAAGCATTCGCTGGATGTTGATAGAAATGCACGAAAAAACCAAAAGTGGGCGGAGTGCTGCCACGGTGCGGCGGCTTAAGATTTACAACACGCGGCGAAAGCAAAACATCAAAGGGAAGATTTTGAAGAATGATTTGCAGTCCAAGGAGTTGCCGTCCACTCGGATTCAGCCGCTGCCGGTGGTTGGGTATGCTGACATGCTGTGTTTTTTTTTTTTTTTTTTTTTTTTTTTTTTAATTTGAATAATATCATTTTTTTTTTTGTCTCTGTTATGTTTGATTGTTGAAGTTAAATACTTACGTGCTTCCTACTGCAAAATGGTGCAAGATGTTATATTTAATCAGCAGTGTATGGAGTGAAATCGAGTTCTCATATATCGTATTTGTGTTTTAAACACTAGATTCACACTTACCATATTTGACAATTGCTCACCGTATTTGGCGACTGCTCACCGTATTTGGCAAGCAATCACCGTATTTGACAGAGAATTAAACACAGAATTTTCACAACTATTTGTTCTCATACAATGACTTTAGATAACATAGAATTTGGTATTTTTGTTTTCATATAATTTACACAAACACAATTTCGAAAAAAAAATTCACATAAATTTTTTCTTAATTTTATTTTTCACAAATTACTTAGATACAGACTATTATCTAAATAACTATTTGAATAAGAATGACAAATTATATTATTTGCAGAAACATAAAAGCAATATAAATTTCAGAAAGCTAAATAAAATCTGAAATCGTGTAAATCTGTAAATAATTAAAGCACAGATACTTAAACTGAAAGCATATATAATTGGAAATAAATTTTTAACCCAGAGGCCTGTGTAAACACAATTTCCTTAAGACAAATTCGTCATCTCACCGTACTGTTAGAGGTTTAGTTCGAGCGCCTGTTTCCCAGGATACAACGGTAACCAGCAGAATTCGAGCACAGCAGTTCTACTCCGACGAACTGGACGAGTGTTCGAACAATATCACCTTACTGGAATGAACACAGGAGGAGACAAAACAAAAATAGAAAACAGAACTGTACGGAGGCAGACGAAAATTGCAGTGTATAAACTGCTGAAAATTGAGTGAAATTATACAGACTGAATCTGACCATTACTTTCTGCATTAACCATTGCAATTTTCGGAGTTACACTTCGGTTTCGACCATTGGAGTTTTAGGAGTTTCAGACAATCAAAAGTCATTTGAAAAAATCACAAAAAAATAAAATAAAATTGCAAAACGCGGACAATCCAAACTGTCCAGTTTTTGCTCTGTTAGATCCGACATTCGTGTGCGCAGGTCGCGCCGCACCCAAGTTCAAGGTCCGAAGGCTATTTCTGTCCGTGATTTGTACCCCCTGCGCGCGCACATGGAAAGAGCCTCTATGCTACACATGATCACACAATTCCAATGCATAGTCATATATAAAGTGGTTTTGGTTTCCATGTTTTTCTATGTAGGACAAAGTTAACTATAGTTTTTCCACCAATATAGACCATTTCCAATGGTCCACTTTAAACTTCAATTTCTCATTCACCTGAGCTTCATTTTTAACAAATAAATACACGACTTCGATGTTCTCACGGAGGAAAACACATATCAGCTTTGATATTCCAAATTGGACCAACAGTTCTCACCGAAAATTGTCCCAAAAGTGAGCCGCTTACTCATTTTTTCCAACAATTCCCCACATGAATGAAAATTGGATGAGACACGAAACGACATAAGACTTGGTGATAAAGTTCAACAGTTGAAGCTTGCATAGGATAGGCAGGTGTTACCCTTTGAACTTTCCCTTGTGAAAACATATTTACTTTACTGACTGACTAGTGGACGCGATGTCTTTGAACTTTTCTTCCTTTTGTGTAAACGATGATATACTTAGGGTTGGCAATGGGCCGAGCCGACTTAATGCCACGAGCTCGGCTCGTGCTCGTGCTCGTGGAGAGCCGAGCTCGGGCTCGGCTCGTTGAAATTGGGCGAGCTCGGCTCATGGGCTCGCCTAATTTTTTTTTTTATATAGAAAATAAAGAATAGAGTTTTAAAAATAAAAAGTGTTAAAAAATACAAATAATTTAACGAAAACAAATTTTTATTTTTTTTATTTATATCATATTGTAATTTGTAATATTTTTTATAAGGTATAATCGTATAAAATATTTATACAATGAAAACGAATTTTTTTTGAAATACATTTACAAAAAATATTTTTTTGATTTTTTTTTAAAGTTAATAAAAAATAGAGTTTTAAAAATAAAAAATGTTAAAAAATACAAATAATTTAACGAGAACAAGTTTTTATTTTTTTTTATTTACATCATATTGTAATTTGTAATACTTTTTATAAAGTATAAAATATTTATATAATGAAAACGAATTATTTTTTGAAATACATTTACAAAAAATATATTTTTTTGATTTCTTTTTAAAGTT